GGGGGAAGAAGGGTTGACAGATTTAGAAAATTAGATCTAGGGGGATGCCTGTCTATGGAAATTTTATTGATTAAAGTAGCATGTTGGTATTAATGGCGGGGGGAAAGTTCTGTTAAGATTGTTAGGTGTGTTGAGTTATTATGGTTGGCATGCGAGGGTTAAGCTTCATGAAGTATTGTGCATTGTTTAGTCTTGTTTTTGGGGTTTGGCAAGATTGTGTTGAATGTACATATGTGGAGTTTAATGGGGGGTAGGGGGGGTTTGATTAAGAAAGCTATATTACTTGCTTACTGCGCGGGTAGGTGCACAGGTGCACAGGTGCACAGGTGCACAGGTGCACAGGTGCACAGGTGCACAGGTGCACAGGTGCACAGGTGCACAGGTGCACAGGTGCACAGGTGCACAGGTGCACAGGTGCACAGGTGCACAGGTGCACAGGTGCACAGGTGCACAGGTGCACAGGTGCACAGGTGCACAGGTGCACAGGTGCACAGGTGCACAGGTGCACAGGTGCACAGGTGCACAGGTGCACTTGTTTCCTATGTCCCGCTACCATGGACTGAATAACACCTTATGGTTGCTGATGCGGAGGAATAACGTTCAATTTAAGTCCAGCTTCAATTTAATTGACTGCGTCGAGGCCTTTGACGGCCATAGCTGAGTCATAGCATCCCCAAATATAAAAAGATACCAAATGCATGAAATCACAGTTATGTGTGAGCATGGGCTGATTAGTCATTAGTCCATCGAGATGTCTTATTTAAGGGGAAAGAATGGGCGAGGTTGGGTGGGAATGGCCCTGAAGAAAGAACCAGATGCCAGGTATAGTTTCATTGTAGAAACCCCCACGTTTGGATGGGCCCGGAGCGAGGATTGGGACACGTAGTTGGGAGGGTTGCTGATTTCCCGCGGCTTGGTGATTAAGCTCGTGGAACATGGGCTGTGATATGCGTGTTGACTGGAAATGATTTGACTTGGATGGGGTATGCACGATCAATAATATAATGTACTTATGTAAGATAAATGATATTATGTACATGCTTATTATTCATGGGGCAGACAATTTAATGCACGACGTACATAGGCCATTCATAAGATATTGCATGTCAGGTGGGTATGGTGTTATGTGGGGGTATAATCTGATACTGACATAGCACATGAGGGTAAATTGTTGTCGTTTAGGGGAAGAAATCAAGGAATAGTTTAAGTAGAATTTCAGCTTTGGGTGTTGATGGTGGAGCTAGAGCTTCTTCCTTGATAGTCCTTGGGAGGAAACGTTTTCCCCCTTTTCTGGTTTACAAGACCAGGGTAATGTGCGATATACTACAGGGACTCTTCATTTTAGAAGATTGTTTTCGATGGTGCTTGCGAGTGGTATAAAAATGAGAATTAGGGAGAAGTAGAGGATTGAGGCCAGTTGGCCGATAATTACGTATGGGTGTTCCACTGGCTGTCCGCCGATTCATGTTAGTGTCAGTAAGTCTGCCACTAAGAGTCAGAATACGCATTGGCTGAGAGGCCGGAATATTATGCTTCGTTGTTTTGATATGTGGAGGGTGGGGATGAGTGCTAGGATCAGGATGGAGAGGATTAGGGCTAATACGCCGCCTAGTTTGTTGGGAATGGAGCGTAGGATGGCGTAGGCAAACAGGAAGTACCATTCTGGTTTAATATGAGGGGGAGTGCTGAGAGGGTTAGCTGGGGTGTAGTTGTCTGGGTCTCCTAGGAGGTCGGGGGAGAATAATACTAGAGTTAGTAGGAGCAAGATCAGGAGGAGGAGTCCTAGGATGTCTTTAATTGTATAATATGGGTGGAATGGGATTTTGTCCATATCGGATGGGATTCCTGAGGGGTTATTAGATCCTGTTTCGTGAAGAAATAGTAAATGTACGACTACCAGGGCTGTGATGATGAAGGGTAGGATGAAGTGGAAAGCAAAAAATCGGGTAAGGGTGGCTTTGTCTACTGAGAATCCACCTCAGATTCACTCGACGAGGGTAGTACCGATGTAGGGAATTGCTGATAGGAGGTTCGTGATGACTGTTGCTCCTCAAAAGGATATTTGGCCTCATGGTAGGACATAGCCCATGAATGCTGTAGCTATAACTGTGAAAAGTAGGATGATTCCAATGTTTCATGTCTCTAGGAATGTGTAAGAGCCGTAGTAGAGGCCGCGTCCTACGTGAATGAAGAGGCAGATAAAAAATATTGATGCTCCGTTGGCATGGAGGTAGCGAATAATTCATCCGTAGTTAACGTCTCGGCAGATGTGAGTGACGGATGAGAAGGCAGTTGTCGTGTCTGATGTGTAGTGTATGGCTAGGAATAGGCCTGTTAAGATTTGGAGGATTAGGCAGATTCCTAGGAGGGAGCCGAAGTTTCATCATGATGAAATGTTTGAGGGGGCTGGTAGGTCAATAAAAGAGTGATTGATGATTTTAATTAGTGGGTGAGATTTCCGGATGTTTGTCATTGGTGTTCTTATAGTTGAAATACAACGATGATTTTTCATGTCATTGGTCGTGGTTAGATTCCACGTGGGAATAATGATGACATATATTGTGTTTATTTTGAGTGTTATTTTTGTTGTTAGTTTTGTGGGGTTTTCTTCAAAACCTTCACCTATTTATGGGGGTTTAGTGCTGATTGTAAGTGGAGGGGTAGGTTGTGGTATTATTATGAATTTTGGAGGGTCCTTTTTGGGGTTGATGGTGTTTTTGATTTATTTGGGAGGAATGTTGGTTGTTTTTGGTTATACAACGGCTATGGCTACTGAGCAGTATCCTGAGGTATGGGTGTCTAATACGACTGTTATGGGGGTATTTCTTTTAGGGTTGTTGATGGAGGTTATGTTGGTTTTATATGTTCTGAAGAGTGAGGAAGTGGGGGTAGTGTTTAAGTTTAGTGGTGTGGGGGCTTGAGCTATTTATGATACTGGAGATTCTGGGGCGTTTAGTGAGGAAATTATAGGGGCTGCTGCATTGTATAGTTATGGGGCTTGGGTTGTGATTGTGACTGGTTGATCGTTGCTTGTTGGGGTCTTGGTAATTTTAGAGGTTACTCGTGGAGATTAAAAAGTAGTATGCTTAGGGTAAGGGTGATGAGGAATGAGAGGAAATATAATTTGATTTGTCCTTTTTGGGTGGAAATTAGGATCGAGGTTTTTATTTGGAACTGGGAGATAGATTTTGGCAGGATGTTTTCTAGTCAGATTGAGTCTAGTAGAAGTGATGCTGATTTTTGGCTTATTGATAGGTTAGCGAGCGGTGGGAGTCGGTGTATAATTGTTGGGTAGTATCCTAGGAGGTTGGAGAATTTGAATACGTTGGTGGAGTGTTCTAGTTTTAAGTTATGGGTTATCAAGCTTAGTTCTAGGGCTAGTGTAAATCCTAGGATGGTTACTGCGAGGGCGGTGAGTTTTATGTAAGTAGGTATGGTTATTTCTGGGACGGTTGTGGGGTAGATATTGTTGGAGATGAAGAATCCGGCAAAAATGCTGCCAATTAAGAGGCGTTTGATGGAGTTAATTAGAAAGGGGTTATTTTCGTTGATTGAGGTCAGAGGGAGGAAGCGGGGTTGCCCTAGGAGTGCAAAGAAGATGATTCGGGTACTGTAGACAGCTGTGAGGGATGTGGCAATGAGAGTTATTAGTAGGGCTCAGGCGTTGGTGTACGATGTGTTGGCGGTTTCGATGATGAGGTCTTTGGAGTAGAAGCCTGTGAGGAAAGGAATTCCGGTGAGTGCAAGGCTGCCAATAATTAGAGATGTGGTGGTGAAGGGTATTGCATTAAATAGTCCGCCTATTTTTCGGATATCTTGCTCGTCATTTAGGCTGTGGATAATGGATCCGGAACATATAAATAGTATAGCTTTGAAGAATGCGTGAGTGCAAATGTGGAGGAATGCTAGGTAGGGTTGATTGATACCGATGGTTACGATTATCAGGCCTAGTTGGCTGGAGGTGGAGAAAGCAATGATTTTTTTGATATCGTTTTGAGTGAGTGCGCAGATTGCTGTGAATAGTGTGGTGATGGCTCCTAGGCATAGGGTAAGTGACTGGATTGTTTTGTTGTTTTCTATTAGTGGATGGAAGCGGATTAGCAGGAAGACGCCTGCTACAACTATTGTGCTGGAGTGGAGTAGGGCTGAGACTGGTGTAGGGCCCTCTATGGCTGAAGGAAGTCATGGGTGGAGTCCAAATTGAGCGGATTTGCCAGTTGCGGCTAGGAGGAGGCCTAGGAGCGGGAGGTTGGTAAGGTTGGGGTCGAGTATGAAGATTTGTTGGAGGTCTCATGTGTTGGTGTTGAATAGGAATCAGGCTATGGCCATGATGAAGCCGATATCCCCGATGCGGTTATAAAGGATTGCTTGAAGGGCCGCGGTGTTGGCATCTGTTCGGCCGTATCATCATCCGATTAGTAAGAATGACATGATGCCTACTCCCTCCCATCCGATGAACAGTTGGAAAAGGTTGTTAGCTGTGACTAGAATTATTATAGTGATGAGGAATGTAAGTAAGTATTTAAAAAATCGAGTAATGTAAGGATCTGAGTGCATGTATCATAGGGAGAATTCCATAATAGATCATGTTACGAATAGGGCTACTGGTACGAAAATTATTGAGAAGTAATCTAGTTTGAAGCTTAGGGATAGTTTGAGGGTTTGTATGGTTATTCAGTGTCAGTTTGAGATAATTGTTTCTTGTCCAGAGTGAATAAATATTATAGTGGGAATTAGGCTAGTAATGAAGGCATATGAGATAGTGTTTTTTACATGATGCGGGAACGTGCTGTTTTTGTAGGTATTGAAGATTGATAATATGATTGGGAGGGTTAGTACTAATAGTGAAACTAGTATGAGGGAGGAGAACATGTTGATTACTTTTATTTGGAGTTGCACCAATTTTTTGGTTCCTAAGACCAACGGATAGCTCCTATCCTTTAAAAGTTTGAGAGAGCCATGTTTGTTGGACATGGGGGCATGAATTAGCAGTTCTTGCATACTTTCTCGGTAAATAAGAAATATTAAGTTTCTGTTTCTAGATCCACAATCTAGTGTTTTTGTTAAACTATATTTACAGTACGTAAAGCCTAGGATAATTTTAGGGTTAAGTGATAGGAGTAGTAGGGGAGTCATGTGGAGGGCCATGAGTGCGTTTTCTCGTGTAAATGAAGGTTTAATGCTGTTGATATGGTGTGTGTATTTCCCTCGTTGTGTTGTGATTAGTATGTATAGGGAGTAGAGGGCGGTGATGGTGATATTGGCTCCTATTAGGATAATGGTAATATTTGATCATGAGAATGATGATATTACTACGAATAGCTCTCCAATTAGGTTAATGCTGGGAGGGAGGGCCAGGTTGGTTAGGCTGGCTAATAGTCATCAGGCTGCTATAAGGGGAAGAAGTGTTTGAAGCCCGCGGGCTAGGATTATAGTTCGGCTATGGGTACGTTCGTAATTTGAGTTTGCCAGGCAGAATAGTATTGATGATGTAAGGCCGTGAGCGATTATTAGGGCTGTAGCTCCTATATAACTTCATGGTGTTTGGATGAGGACGGCTACGATTACTAGGGCTATGTGGCTGACAGAGGAGTATGCAATAAGTGATTTTAGATCGGTTTGTCGCAAGCAGATGGAACTAGTTATGATTATTCCTCACAGGGATAGTATGAGGAAGGGGTAGGCTATAAAGCTAGTTTGGGGGTTTAGTATTGTTGTAATTCGTAGTATTCCGTAGCCTCCTAGTTTTAGTAGAATGGCTGCTAGCACTATGGATCCGGCAATTGGGGCTTCTACATGGGCTTTTGGGAGTCAGAGGTGAAGACCATATACCGGTATTTTGACTATGAATGCTATTATACATGCTAGTCATAGGAAAATATTGGATCAAGAGTCGGGTAGTGCTTGGTTTCAGTATTGAATTAATAGGAAGTTTAGTGAGCCTGTTAGGTTTTGGATAGAGATTAGTGCAACTAAGAGTGGGAGGGAACCTATTAGTGTGTAGAATAGGAAGTAGAGGCCTGCGTTCAGGCGTTCTGTTTGGTTGCCTCAGCGGGTGATGATAATTAGTGTTGGAACTAATGTGGCTTCAAATAGGATGTAGAAGGAGATTAGTTCTGTGGCGGTAAAAGTCATGATTAGGAAAGTTTGAAGTATGGTTAGCATGGTGATGTAGAGTTTTTTTCGGATTAGTGGTTCCTTAGATAGATGGTGTTGGCTGGCTATGAGTATTAGTGGCAGTAGTCATGTTGTCAACACCAGAAGTGGGGCTGATAGGGGATCGGAGAAGAATATTAGTGAGAAGTTTAGGCTATTGTTGCTAGGTTGGTTTAGGAGGGATAGGCTGATAAGGCTGATTAATAGACTATAGGTTGTAGTGTTGATTCAGATTATATTCTTTTTTGATAGTCATGTAAGGGGCATAAGTATGATTGTGGGAATGATAATTTTTAGCATTGGAGGAGGTTAAGGTTTTGTACGTGGTCTACTCCATAAGTATTGGAGACTATGACTAGTAGGGATAATCCTAGAGCTCGTTCGCAGGCAGCAAATACTAGTAAGATGATAGGTATTATACTAGCTAGTGTGAAGTGGGTGTTTAGGACTATTATGGTTGCTATGACGAATAGTGATAGTATTATTCCTTCTAGGCATAGGAGTGAGGATATTAGGTGGGATCGGTACATTAGTAGGCCTACGAGGGATACTGTGAATGCTAGGAAGATATTAATATGGACTAGTGACATGTTGGTAATTATGAAGTTAATCATAGTTTAATGAGTCGAAATCATTTGTTTTGGTTTAAACTAATTACCATACTCAGTTCATTCTAGTCCTTTTTGGGTTCATTCGTAGGCTAGGCTGATGGCTAGAAGAGAGATTAGGACTAGTGCTATGATAAGTATAGTGTTTAGGTTAGTTGTTTGGGATGCTCATGGAAGGGGTAATAGGAGGGCAATTTCTAAGTCGAATAGCAGAAATGTAATGGCCACTAAGAAAAATTTTATTGAGAAGGGGAGGCGTGCTGACCCTATAGGGTCAAATCCGCATTCATATGGGCTGGTTTTTTCTGCATAGATGTTTAGTTGTGGTAGTCAGAATGCGATGAGTACGAGTAGCGAGGCTAGTAATGTGTTAGTGAGGAGTGTCAGTATGAGGTTTATTATTCTTTTTCGGGTTATACCGAAGCTGATTGATTGGAAGTCAATTGTACTGGTCAATACTAAAAGAATAGGATCCTCATCAATAAATAGAGACGTACAAGAATAGTCAGACTACGTCGACGAAGTGTCAGTATCAAGCGGCTGCTTCGAATCCGAAGTGGTGGCTGGATGTAAAGTGGAATTTTAGTTGGCGTAGGAAACATACAATGAGGAAGGTAGATCCGATAATTACGTGTAGTCCGTGGAACCCTGTTGCTACGAAAAATGTTGATCCGTATACTCCATCTGAAATAGTAAATGAGGCTTCATAGTATTCTGAGGCTTGGAGAAGGGTGAAGTATACGCCTAGTGAAATTGTGATGAATAGGCCTTGGAGCATATTTTTACGGTTTCCTTCTATTAGGCTATGGTGGGCTCAGGTGATAGAGACTCCAGATGCTAGGAGCACTGAGGTGTTGAGTAAGGGGACTTCTAGGGGGTTTAAGGGGTGGATACCTGTGGGTGGTCAGCAGCCGCCTAGTTCGGGTGTGGGGGCTAGGCTTGAGTGGTAAAAGGCTCAGAAGAAGCCAGAGAAGAAGAAGACTTCTGAGATAATAAAAAGGATTATGCCATATCGGAGTCCCTTTTGAACGATTGATGTGTGATGGCCTTGGAATGTGCTTTCTCGGATGATGTCTCGTCATCATTGATATATGGTAAGGATGTTAGTTAATAGCCCTATAGCTAGAAGTAAGGTTGAGTTAAAGTGAAATCACATGGCTAGTCCTGATGTTATCAGGAGGGCTGATAGGGCTCCTGTAAGTGGTCATGGGCTGGGGTTTACTATGTGGTAAGCGTGGGTTTGGTGGGTCATTAGGTGTTGTCGTGTAAGTAAAGGCTTACCAGGAGAGTGAATACGTAGGCTTGGATTATAGCTACTGCGAATTCGAGGATAGTTAGTAGAATTAGGATGATAAACGTAATAAGGGCTGTTGAGGGGCTGATGCTTATGAGGGCTAGTGTTGCCCCTCCGATGAGGTGTATTAGGAGGTGTCCGGCGGTAATGTTAGCGGTTAGCCGCACGGCTAGGGCTACAGGTTGAATAAATAGGCTGATAGTCTCGATAATTACTAGTATGGGGATGAGGAAAATGGGCGTCCCTTGAGGTAGAAAGTGGGCTAGGGCTGCTTTTGTTTTGTGACGAAAGCCTATGAATACTGTCCCTGCCCATAGGGGAATAGCTATGCCTAGGTTTATTGATAGTTGTGTTGTTGGTGTAAATGAGTGAGGTAGTAGGCCTAATAAGTTTGTTGAGCCAATGAATAGGATCAGTGATATGAGTATAAGAGTTCAGGTTTGTCCTTTGCTGTTATGGATAGCTATTATTTGTTTTGATGTAAGTTGGACTAGCCATTGTTGAATTGAGATTAGGCGATTGTTGATTAGTCGGTTGGGTGAGGGGAATAGGATGCTGGGAAATATGATGATCAGAATTACAATAGGGAGGCCTACTATTGTTGGGGTAGCGAAAGAGGCGAATAGATTTTCGTTCATTTTGATTCTCAAGGGGCAGAGTGTTTTGTTATTTTGGTTGTCTTTACTTCTGGGTGTGTCGGATAGGAGTGCTTTGAGATTTTTAGTTGAAATACAATAAATAGAGTTAGGATTATTGAGACGATATTAATAAATCATGTTGATGTATCCAACTGTGGCATATCACTAGGGAGGGGGTTGAACCCTCAATCTTTAACTTAAAAGGTTAATGCTATAATAGCTTCTTAGTGACTTTATAATATTGATGCAGATCATTCTTCGAAGTGTTTCAGTGGAACTAGTTCAAGGACAATTGGTATAAAGCTGTGGTTTGATCCGCAGATCTCTGAGCATTGACCGTAGTAAAGTCCTGGTCGAGAGGCCACGAGAGTTGTCTGATTTAGGCGCCCAGGGATAGCGTCTGTTTTTAGGCCTAGGGAGGGCACAGCTCATGAGTGTAGGACGTCTTCGGATGAAATTAGCATTCGGATGGTTATTTCTATGGGGAGAACCACTCGATTGTCGACTTCTAGAAGACGTAATTCTCCTGGTTTTAGGTCTGATGTGGGGATCATGTAGGAGTCAAAGGTCAAGTCTTCGTAATCGGTATACTCGTAGCTTCAGTATCATTGGTGGCCTATTGTTTTGACTGTGAGGGACGGATTATTGATTTCATCTATTATATATAGAATTCGTAGGGATGGGAGGGCGATTAGAATAAGGATGATGGCTGGTAAAATCGTTCAAATTGTCTCTACTTCTTGAGCATCTATGGTGCTGGTATGGGTTAATTTAGTTGTTAGTATTGATGAGATAATATATAATACTAGAGAGCTAATTAGGAATACGATTATTAGTGTGTGGTCGTGGAAGTGTAGGAGTTCTTCTATAATAGGGGATGTTGCGTCTTGGAATCCTAGTTGGAAGGGGTAGGCCATAGAGGTATATAGGGGTTTAACCTATAATTTAACTTTGACAAAGTCATGTAATTTTTACTAATACCTCAATTGATGGAGAAAGACATAGTGGTTATGATATTGGCTTGAAACCAGTTAGAGGGGGTTCGATTCCTTCCTTTCTTATTTTAGGTTTACGTAGGTGGGTTCTTCAAATGTGTGGTATGGTGGGGGGCATCCGTGTAGTCATTCCAGATTAGTTGAGGTTAATTCTACTGTAGACACTTCTCGTTTGGATGCGAACGCTTCTCAAATTATGAAAATTATTAGTATCACTGCTGTAAGTGAGATAAAAGATCCTATGGATGAGATGGTATTTCATGTTGTATATGCGTCTGGATAATCAGAATAGCGTCGTGGCATTCCTGAGAGGCCAAGGAAATGTTGTGGGAAGAAGGTTATATTTACCCCTACGAATATAATTGTAAAGTGGATTTTTGCTCAGGTTTGGTTGAGTGTGTATCCTGAGAATAGAGGGAATCAGTGTACAAATCCCCCCATAATGGCGAAGACTGCTCCTATAGACAGGACATAATGGAAATGTGCTACTACATAATAAGTATCGTGGAGAACAATATCTAGGGATGAGTTAGCTAGGACGATTCCTGTTAGACCTCCTACTGTGAATAAGAAGATGAAGCCTAGAGCTCAGAGTATAGCTGGAGATCATTTGATATTTCCTCCGTGCAGGGTGGCTAGTCAGCTGAATACTTTTACACCAGTAGGGATAGCGATGATTATGGTAGCTGATGTGAAGTATGCTCGTGTGTCAACGTCTATCCCTACTGTAAACATGTGGTGAGCCCATACGATGAAGCCTAGAAAGCCAATGGATATTATAGCTCACACTATACCCATGTAGCCAAAAGGTTCCTTTTTACCTGAGTAGTATGTGACGATGTGTGAGATTATACCGAAGCCTGGTAGGATAAGAATATAGACTTCGGGGTGTCCGAAGAATCAGAATAGGTGTTGATAAAGGATTGGATCCCCTCCTCCTGCGGGGTCGAAGAAAGTAGTGTTCAGGTTACGGTCTGTGAGAAGCATGGTAATGCCTGCTGCTAGGACCGGGAGGGCTAGGAGAAGGAGTACTGCCGTAATAAGGACAGATCAAACGAATAGGGGGGTTTGATATTGGGATAGGGCTGGTGGTTTTATGTTAATGATTGTGGTAATAAAGTTGATGGCACCTAAAATCGAGGACACCCCAGCTAGGTGGAGAGAGAAAATGGTTAAGTCAACAGAGGCTCCTGCATGCGCCAGATTTCCAGCTAGAGGAGGATATACGGTTCAGCCTGTTCCGGCACCTGCTTCAATTATTGAGGAAGCGAGAAGAAGTAGGAATGATGGGGGAAGTAATCAGAAGCTTATGTTGTTTATTCGGGGGAAAGCTATATCAGGTGCTCCAATTATCAGGGGGACTAATCAGTTTCCGAATCCTCCGATTATAATGGGTATGACCATAAAGAAAATTATTACGAATGCATGGGCGGTTACAATGACATTGTAGATCTGATCATCTCCTAGTAGGGTCCCAGGTTGGCCTAATTCAGCACGGATTAGGAGGCTTAGGGCAGTTCCTACTATTCCAGCTCAAGCGCCGAATAGGAGGTACAGAGTGCCGATGTCTTTGTGGTTAGTTGAAAATAGTCAGCGGTTGATGAACATAGGTAAGATGGCTGAGTAAGCATTAGACTGTAAATCTAAAGACAGGGGTTGGAATCCTCTTCTTATCAAGTCCCGTGGTGAATTTTCACATTGAATTGCAAATTCAAAGGAGCAGCTTCAATTTCTGCCGGGGCTTCTCCCGCCTTTTTTTCTAGGCGGCGGGAGAAGTAGATTGAAGCCAGTTGATTAGGGTATTTAGCTGTTAACTAAAATTTCGTGGGATGGTAGCCCACCAATCTAGTAAGGGCTTAGCTTAATAAAAGAGTTTGATTTGCGTTCAATTGATGTGAGATAGAGTCTCGCAGTCCTTAGTATGCAGGAATTAAGTGGATTCACTTGCTTAGAGCTTTGAAGGCTCTTGGTCTGGGATGTTAACCTAAATTCCTAGTCCAAAATTGATAGTATGGGGGTTAGGGGGAGGAGTAGGGAGGATATAACAATTAACGGGGGTAAGAGAGTAATTCGTTTGGTTTCGAATTGTCATTTTATTTTTATGTTGTTTGTGGATGGGAATATGGTCAGTGAGGTGGAATAGGTTAGTCGTATGTAGAAGTAGAGGTTGAGTAGTGCTATAATGGCTATTAGTGTGGGGAGGATGATGCTGCTATTTTTGGTGAGCTCTTGAATGATTATTCATTTGGGTATGAATCCTGATAGTGGGGGGAGGCCTCCTATGGATAGTAAGGTAATTAAGATTAGTGTAGTGGTTAGAGGTATTTTGTTTCATGTGTGGGAGAGTGATAGTGTTGTAGTAGAGGAGCTGTGGATAAATAGTATGAATATTGTGAGTGTTATTATAATGTAAATTAATATGTTTAGTATTGTTAGTGTTGGGTTATATACTAGGACAGCTGTTATTCATCCTATATGCGCGATTGACGAGTATGCTATGATTTTTCGTAGTTGGGTTTGGTTGAGACCGCCTCAGCCTCCTACTAGGATTGACAGTACGGCTATAGTTAATAAGATATTTAGGTTAATTGAGGGTGAGATTTGATATAGGATTGATATTGGGGCTAGTTTTTGTCATGTAAGTAGGATGAGACCTGATGTTAATGAGATGCCCTGTGTGACTTCGGGTACTCAGAAGTGGAATGGTGTGAGTCCAAGTTTTATGGCGAGAGCTGAAGTTATAATGATGGACGCTGTGGGGTTGAAGACTTTTGTGATTGTTCATTGGCCTGAGTGTATGAGGTTAATGATGATCGCTATTATGAGGAGTATTGATGCGGTGGCTTGGGTTAGAAAATATTTGGTGGAGGCTTCTATGGTTCGGGGATTGTACTTTTTTATTAGGATAGGGATAATGGCTAGTAGATTTATTTCAAATCCGATTCAGATTATTAGTCAGTGTGAGCTTATTATAACGATTATAGTTCCTAGAAGAACTGTTATTAGAATAGTTGTGAAGATAAGGGGATTTATTAGTACGGGAAGGGTGTAATCCAACATTTTCGGGGTATGGGCCCGATAGCTTATTTAGCTGACCTTACTTGTAGGACATGGTGTAATTCGGTAGCACGGAGGATTTTGAATTCTCAGGAGCAGGTTCAATTCCTGTAGTTCTAGAAATAAGAGGGTTTGAGCCTCTATGTTTTACTCTATCAAAGTAACTCTTTTGTCAGACATATTTCCTATGTTTGTGGTGGGATGCTGGATAGTATGATTGGAAGTGAGACGTGTCATATGCAGAGGGCTAGTGTGAGTGGTAGGAAGTTCTTTCATAGGAGGTGTATAAGTTGGTCATATCGGAATCGTGGGTAGGATGCTCGGATTCATAGGAAGGAACATGTTAGAAGGAGAGCTTTAATGGTGAAATTAATTGAGTAGAGTTCTGGCAGGTAGGGGTTGTGAAATGCTCCTAGAAATAGGGTTGTTGTGAAGATGTTTATCATGATGATGTTTGCGTATTCTGCTAGGAAGAATAGAGCAAATGGGCCGGCTGCGTATTCAACGTTGAATCCAGAGACGAGTTCTGATTCTCCTTCTGTTAGGTCAAATGGAGCTCGGTTGGTTTCGGCTAATGTTGAGATGAATCACATTATGGCTAAGGGTCATGATGGGAAGATTAATCAGAGGTATTCTTGGGTAATAATAAGTGTTGATAATGTGAATGATCCGCTTATTAGGAGGACTGAGAGTAGGATGATTGCTAGAGTTACTTCGTATGAGATGGTTTGTGCTACTGCTCGTAGAGCTCCAATTAGGGCGTATTTTGAGTTTGAGGCCCATCCTGATCAAAGGATTGAGTAGACAGCTAGGCTGGACATGGCTAGTATGAATAGAATTCCTAGGTTTATGTTGATTAGTGGGTATGGTATGGGCAGAGGGATTCATATGGTTAAGGCCAGGGTTAGGGCTAGGATTGGTGCGATGATGAATATGGATGTCGATGATGTTAGTGGTTGTAGTGGCTCTTTGATAAATAGTTTGAGGGCATCGGCAATAGGTTGTAGTAGGCCATAGGGGCCTACGATGTTGGGTCCTTTGCGAAGTTGCATATAGCCTAAGACTTTTCGTTCAACTAGTGTGAGGAATGCTACGGCGAGCAAGATTGGGACAATTAGGAGGAGGACGTTAATTATGAACATGTTGTTAGGGAGAGGAGTTGAACCTCTGAGTGTAAAGGTTTAAGTTTTATGCAATTTCCGGGCTCTGCCACCCTAACGAGCCCTGTTCTAGGGCGGTAGAAGTTATAAATTAGTTAGATTTAGATTATGTCATCTATTAGTTTGAGGGCGCTTCTTGTAAAGTGGGCCCTACTTTTCTTGTCCTTTCGTACTGGGAAAAGTATAGAATAGATAGAAACCGACCTGGATTACTCCGGTCTGAACTCAGATCACGTAAGACTTTAATCGTTGAACAAACGAACCCTTAATAGCGGTTGCACCATTAGGATGTCTTGATCCAACATCGAGGTCGTAAACCCTAATTGTCGATATGGACTCTGGAATAGGATTGCGCTGTTATCCCTAGGGTAACTTGTTCCGTTGATCAATGGTTTGGATCAATAAGTGATTATATATTTTGACTGGTTAGTCTGGATTTAAATCACTCGGAGGTTGTTTTGTTCTCCGAGGTCACCCCAACCGAAATTGCTGATTCAATCAAAAGTTTTGTTGTCCCTGAAGGTTAAGGTTTGTGTGTTGTTTTTTGTGAATCAGTTAATTAAAGCTCCATAGGGTCTTCTCGTCTTATTTAGTCATTCCCGCCTCTTCACGGGAAGGTCAATTTCACTGATTGGAAGTAAGAGACAGTAAAACCCTCGTGTGGCCATTCATACAAGTCCCTATTTAGGGAACAAGTGATTATGCTACCTTTGCACGGTTAGGATACCGCGGCCGTTTAAACAGATGTCACTGGGCAGGCAGTGCCTCTAATACTGGAAATGCTAGAGGTGATGTTTTTGGTAAACAGGCGGGGTTTGTGTTTGCCGAGTTCCTTTTACTTCTTTTAATCTTTCCTTATAGATGCATGCCTGTGTTGGGTTAACAATGGTTTAAATAGATGATTAGTTTTTGGATTATCCCTATCTTGTTGTTAACTATCAGTGAGTATTCGTTCTGATATAAGCTTATGCAAGGAGAAATAATTCTTGTTACTCATATTAACATTATTGCTTCTATGTGTTGATAGAATAGTCCAGTATGAGATTAGGAGTTAGTTTGGGTTGATTGTTGGGATTAAGATAGATGTGTCGTTGAGCTTGAACGCTTTCTTAATTGATGGCTGCTTTTAAGCCAACTATGGGTTTATCTTGTTCTTACTCTCTAATGAAGGTTGTAACCTGTATCTAAAAAGCTGTACCTTTTTAGACTATAATTTAAATTTACATTAGAATTGAGTAGTTTTTAGGTAAATTTAAATTTGAACTGAAATTCTGTTTCTGGACAACCAGCTATCACCAGGCTCGTTGGGCTTTTCACCTCTACCTACGAATCTTCTCACTATTTTGCGACATAGATGAGTTGGTTCATTTGTAACTGTTCATAGGTAGCTCGTCTGGTTTCGGGGTGCTTAGCTTAAGTTCTCTTTGCTAAGTTTATTCTAGTTAAATCATTATGCAAAAGGTAAAAGGGGTAAGCTTTGCTGTTTAGTACTTTTAATGCATCTTTCATCGTTCCCTTACGGTACTTTCTCTATAGCGCCAAGTTAAAATTTCTATCTCCTATACTTTAATGGTTTGGTGAATGTTTTAGTTAAGTGACTAAGGGTAATTGAATTAGGTATTGTTTGGGCTAGCTTTAGTTCAAAGTGTTCATTTTGAGTGAAATCTTCTAGGTGTAAGCTGGATGCTTTGTTTAAGCTACACTTTGGTTATCCAAGTACACCTTCCGGTATACTTACCTTGTTACGACTTGTCTCCTTTCATATGTTTGGGTCACGGTTTTATGTTATGTTATGATTTGTGATATTTAAGGAGGGTGACGGGCGGTGTGTGCGCGCTTCATGGCCTGATTCAATTAAGCTCTCTATTCTTAATTTACTGCTAAATCCTCCTTTAGTCTCCAGTTTCATGGAGACTTTCGTCCGGGTTAAAGTTCTTGTTCTTAGGGTAGAAAATGTAGCCCATTTCTCTCCATCCCATGGGCTACACCTTGACCTAACGTTTTTATGTTGGATATTTGTGCTTACTTCGGTACCTTGTTTAGGGTTTGCTGAAGATGGCGGTATATAGGCTGAATTAGCAAGGGATGGTGGGGTTTATCGGGGTTTATCGATTATGGAACAGGCTCCTCTAGAGGGATGTAAAGCACCGCCAAGTCCTTTGAGTTTTAGGCTGTTGCTAGTAGTACTCTGGCGAATAGCTTTGTTGTGGTAAGCTATTTTAGTTTAGGGCTAAGCATAGTGGGGTATCTAATCCCAGTTTGGGTCTTAGCTATCGTGTAGTCAGAGGTATTAAAGTCACTTTCGTAGTCTATTTTACTTTGGTTGTAGCTTTTTACGGCTTAACTGGGTTTTAACTTTATTTTGGTATTAGTCTTTGACACGCTTTACGCCGGAGATTTATTAATTTGGGTTAATCGTATGACCGCGGTGGCTGGCACGAAATTTACCAACCCTTATTTAATATGACTTAGTCGAACTTTCGTTCATAGCTTAATTTTTATCACTGCTGTGTCCCGTGGGGGTGTGGCTGAGCAAGGTGTTATGAGCTACTTTCTAGTGTGCTTGATACCTGCTCCTTTTAATCGTAGAGACGTGATTTAGAGGGCATTCTCACTGGGGTGCGGATACTTGCATGTGTAATTCTATTAATAACTAATAAAAAGGCTAGGACCAAGCCTATGTGTTTATGGAGTAAGAATACTCATCTAGGCATTTTCAGTGCCTTGCTTTATATTATTAAGCTACATTAAC